TAGTTGAGCTTTGGAAGCAGCCATCAGAAGATGGATACACTGTCGTCATAAAGGAATAGGCATGGTCATCAACAGTACTCAGGTAGGCTGTGGTGCTAAAAAGATACTTTTAAACACCAAAGTGTGCCAAGAAAATATCCTCCACCACCAGCCTTGATTACTGATACAAGGAAGGATGGATCTATCCATTTACACTAAATTCTGACCCTACCATAAACCTGGCTCCTGGTGTGCTCTTCTGCTGCCGTAGTATATTTTCTTCAAGGTTGCATTCAGAGATGCTATTTGAGAGGTTATTTGAGTTACTGCTGCCGTCCTATCAGCTTGAAGCAGTCTGGCCATTCTCCTCTGATCTCAGGCATCAACAAGGCATCTTTGTCCAGAGAACGTCGGCTCACTGAATCTTTTCTCTTCTTCGTTCCATCCTTTGTAAACCATAGAAATGGCTGTTTGGGGAAGACTGAAGTATTCACAACTTCTATGTCACATTCAAAGTCACTTAAATCACCTTTCTCTCCATTCTGATGCTTGATTTGAACTCGAGCAGGTCATCTTGACTGTGTCTATGCCCCTGGATTGAGTTGCACATGATTGGCTGATTAGATATTTGCCTTAACGAGTAATTAAACAGGTGTATCTAATAAAGTGACCAGTAAGTGTATATAGAATGCAGGGTAAAAACCACCATCCTTGTCTTCTGCAGAAAAAGTTGACATTTGAAGCTTTTGCAGCTGCCTAATAATGTACAGCCCTCTGTGTAAATCTAGTCACTTTGAGTTTTCCTACTCTCCAATGTGCCAAATTTTATGCATTGTTAATCATCTCTCCTGTGTATATGTTTTATTTGTGTGGATTGGTGCACCATATAGGCCCAGTGGATATAAATATCCAGGCTAAGTGTGATCCCTGCCTGTCCAACCCCTGCAAGAACGATGGCACATGTGCCAATGACCCTGTGCACTACTACCGCTGCACCTGCCCTTATGGATTTAAGGTACACCCAGCATAGAAAGCAAAAGGAATCATATTCACCTGCTCTTTCATAGCATCTTTTATAATCACTCACTGGTAGAAAAAAACCCACACCCATGAGACAACACTTCTTATCTTTCAAAACTCAGAGTACAAACTTACACATACAGACACGTAGAAAGATTATTCCTGCGTGAGCCAGATGAATACATTTGTGAACGAGTGTAGGGATAAGAGACAACACTTTCAAAGTCAACTGATGCAATAGGTGGAAATTTTAAGAAGCTGTTGTTGTTTGAGAGCGCTGAACATATGTGTGTTTGTGTTGTGCACGCAGGGCCAAAACTGTGACGAACCCATTCACGCCTGTATCAGTAACCCGTGCCAGAACGGTGGAACCTGCCACCTGAAAGAAGGAGAAGGCAGCAACTTTTGGTGAGAGACGTTCGAGATATTTTATCCAACCTGGTTAGTCTTGACCGTCAGTTTACCCGCAAGTTATGTTAAAGAGACATTTTCCTTAATTCACACACAAATGTTGTGTATCAGGAGGTACTACTCCACCTGTGAGGCTCTGGAGAGAGCTTTTTAAAGTGGACTCTGATGATGAAACTGGCTGGGACAAAAAAGAAAGCACTGCCGTGTTACATCTGAAAGATGTGAGCATTTACCTGATGGGGTGCATTGCATTATGGGAAATCCAAGAAAACGCATTAATGGATCAAACATTTTTTAAAGGACCTGCAATGTCAGAGCCTCACTTGCATCAGTTCTGACCTCTCTTTTGAACATTTCATACAATAGTATTCTAACTCCAGTAACTGTAGTCCTCTATGTGCTACAGGCCCCTCGGTGTACTCGGTGGTACTTAACTTTATACATTTTAAGTAGTGTTTTGTAAGGATTAGGGGGATAGAGCTAGAGGACATGTGCTCAAGGTGCTAAAGTAAAACTTCCTTTTCAGAATAACAGAACACTTATGGCTGTTTCATTCTTGGAAGATGATGGAGCTGAGCGAAAATACAAATAAACATCAATAACTGTGTTACCGCAAAGCATCTGTTCATAAAACCAACCATCCAGAACACCATACATCAGCGATCAGATAGCAAGAGAGCACATGTGCAGGTAATCTGTGGTTTCTCAGCTGATTCCTCCATCAGTGATGCTGCACCAGTAATTAGAGGTGGTGATGAAGTTACGGGAGGCGAATGGCTCAGGGGACTGGTTCTTTTGTGTCTCCAGAGCAAAGTGGACAGACCCGCTGTGAGAACTTTCTTCATTAGTCTATTTACTGTTAACTGTAGGGAAGCTAATGCCTGTTTGCTTGCTCGTTCCGAGCAGATCTTAACAACGTACGCAGATGATTTAAGAAACCCCAGCTCCTCCCGTTTGTCGTCCTCCATTTCTTTGCCCTCTCTCCGTATCCTCTGCTGCCATTTCTTGTCCATTTATGTCCGTATTTCCATCGGTGTATGATTTCTTTTCCCTCTCCAGCGCAGGGGGTGGAATATTCATCGTGAAGAGCTGTCGCCGACTATATAATGAGATATTAATCCACCCGAGTGTGTGCTGCATAAGAGCTCTTTATTAGACCCATAATATAGCACTCTCAGTGTGTGTGTGTGTGTGT